GTCCTGTGAATAGACTGTTCACGGACTATTACTGCAACAAGGGCATCTTAGAGATAATGAAGCAAATGAATGAAAATAATTATATCCAAGAAACTACAGATTAATGTAAAATATAGAAAGGCGGCCTAACCGTCAGATTGCTAGCAATGACTAGGATGACTTCCTAACCCTGTAGTGCCATTAACTTAGTTTGGCGGAACAGGTTAAGTAAAGTGACCATATCTCTCTGGCTTCTAAATAACTTATGTTTCTACAGTGGCGCCCGAACTAAAAAGCTAATGAATAACGATTCTTCACCACCGGCATTAAAACCCCAGCCGCCCTTTAAAAAATGGAAAGTATATAAGGTATTTCTCCCGCTTTCTTAGCATGCCTTCGTAGTGTAGTGGTCAGCACACTCGACGCGTATTCGAGAGGTCCTTGGTTCGAGTCCCGGCGAGGGCATTGCTCATTTTTCCTGTTTCCTGCTTCCAAATAACCTAATGTTTCTACAACCTTTAAGATATATCAACAAATGAATAATGCAATTGGCTAACTGATTATACCGGACCATAATTCGGTCTTCATAAACCAAGTAAATTTAAATTGTTATTACGATGTAAGCTGTTTGACAAGTGACAAGTTTAACTAATTTTAAAACATATAAGGATTTCCACTTCGGTCCTCAAAAACTGATGAATTTTAAATGTTTATCATTATTTTATAAGTTACACAACATTCAACAAAGTTAATACATATAGCCCACTTTTAAATGCATTTAATACTAACTCCTTCAAATTAATATAATTATTTTTTAATATGGTAAGAAGCAGCATACTCTTTATGGAAATGTTACGCAACAGGATAAAAGTGACTATACTCTAAAGAAAATTAATAAACTCAAAATGGTATGAATGCATAGCCCACGCCACAAAATTCAGTAAAGTGTTGCCAAGCGGTAAAGCTAGATACGCCCCTAGACCCGTAATGTAGTTGAATCTCCATGGATCTCCTTCCTACCATAAACAAGCAAAAAAAAAAAAAAAAAAAAAAAAAAAAAAAAAAATGCTTTTTCTGGGCAAAGTCTGCTAACTAAAACGATACTAAAATATCCTGGGTGGATGCCAATTACTGTGTCTACTATGTCTCCGGATGCTATGTCTATTCCAATTCGAATATTGTTTAAATTTGACAAGTTTAGTTAAAGAGTTCACCCATGCATAAACCAAATTTTGCTCTTTATACTTGAACACTCAAACCCAAAAAGCATTCAAAGTGTATAATGGTTGTCACTATGATATACTCTTCAACTCACACATGTGACTGATAAGAATTAAAAATTTGCCAAATATTTTCACTTACGAGTCTTTGTGATTTGCAGTTTTCGTAACCTAGCTTTCCGATTTCATAATAGTCAATGATATGTTATGCATGAAAAGCGGCTAAAATTACTATGTGAAGAAATAAAAAAGGCGTGCCTAAAATATATTAGAGACTCCTCAGATTTACCGGTTTTGGTGCTATAGATGAATCCTGATGTTTCGTGCAGTTAATGATGCTCCCTAAGCTATAAAAAGATGAATGCAGTACGCTGAATCATCACTCTTACTGAAAAGACGAAGGTAAGTGTAAATTTCTGTCTCTTAATGCAAAAGCATTTCCATGTATGAGCATAATTGTCAAACGTTACATTTCTTTGTGTTACTGAATAAATACTGCTATCTTATTATTGAAATGTTAATAGCATTCAAGTACTTTTGCTAAATATGATTTTTCATCCATGATTCTTCTTGGAGAATATCCTTTTCATCCTGAGTGGCTTTATTCTGGGAATGGCCACGTCTTGCGTACACAGGATCTTTTGCGATCAGTTTTGGGTTCTTTTGGACGCGAAGACATCACCACTACCACCACATTTACTAAATGTTTTAATTTAGGTGGAGTTATTAAACATTCAAGATTGGCCTGGACAATCCTGAATTTGTAATTAAGTTCTTGCAGCATCATCAGCTCCGGTACTTCTTTTTATAAAACTGAACCACAATTTAAAGGGAAAAAAATTTTAGAATTCCTAACGTTTTAGTTTAACAATAAGCAGACCTTGCAAAACTCTATTTCCCTAGAAATACGAACTCATGAGAACATGAGACGTTCAAGTAAAGTTCTCTCACTCACGTGCGGAAACGTTTCCCTTTAAGTTGGGGTAGTTTATTTAGGAAGGCCTAAATTTCTCGCCATGCCATTGTATCTAGTGTACTGTTATCGATGCTTACAGTTAGTTATCCTCGCAGGAAGGACAATTTGTGTTCTTAAATGTGCGTTAAGTGACAGAGTGTACAATAAGACTGAAATACTGAGATAAACACGTCTTATACATCGTCTTCCCATAGTATCCACCATGGAGGTAGGAAAAGGAGGAGGGGCCAACCCGCGCTAAAAGTGAAGCACTGCTTTGAAGCTTGGGTCACCAGATGGGGTGTTCTTTGTTTACATTCAGAAGCTCGCTTCACAAGATTCTGATAGTATTTCGACACACGACAGTTCCATACAAATCGAAAAAGGGACACTTTCGCATGAAAGAAACATTCATAGTGTGATGGATAATAGCAATTTGTATAGTTTAGTGACATTTACCCTAAAATTACATCTTTGTTATTTTTCGATAACTAACAACAGCGATTTTGATTATGAATTTGTTTTATAAAATTCTAAGCTGTTGCACTACAAAAATATAGATTTTAAGAAAAATGTTATGCTTAAAGAATTAAAAATACCTTACGGTACATTTAAAATTGTATACGTCTTTCGATACCTTTGATAGAGTATTCGCTACTTTTATTTTATTTTCCAAACGTCAAAATGTTTTAAATAAAACAAATTTTTTTCACATCCATATATTATTGTAACATGTACCTTTTAAAATTTTTTAGAGGAGAGGCTTTACTGCTGCTCATTTTTAACCCATCGTTTTAATTTTATATATCTGAAAAATAAGCACTTTGGGCTTACACGTTTTACTTATTTGGGTTAATTAAAAATAAAATTACCATCAAATGCTGCAATCCTTGTCAAAAATTAATAAATATACACACAGATATGCCAACAAGTTAGCTTTCCCTTCATTTGGAACCACACATTTGTGTAAAATTATGTACAGTTTTACACAAATGTGTGGAACAGAAGAGGGATACATTTGCGAATTTGGCGGAAGTACCATGTGCGGTCAAGATGATGTGACCATGTGAACGTGCTACATCATCAAGACAGCTTATTAAGAATTTGAAAAATAGGGTAATCGACGCAGGTGAAAACATTTGTATATCCTGCCAAAGGAGGTCCGATCATGAATGGTCCGATCAGAACGTAATAAAGAGTTTTGGAATATGTATTGTTGAAATGAAGGATAAAAAAAAACAGAGATAAGTATAATTAAAAGAATTATTCCCCTTACATTTTATAATAACTCAGTTACAAGTTTTAAATAATACTTTAAAAAAAACTTATTTTATTCCCTTTCAGAAATGTTCAGAGAAAGTTAAGTACTATTTAAAGTATTTCGCTAATTCCTAATAATTCTCTAATTTAAAATGAACCGAATAGAGCATTAATTAAAAATTGACTTACATTTTTCGAAGCCAAAAAATCATGTCATATTTAAGAAAGTATTCAGAAAGAAGCTCTATAAATAGAAAAGAAATAATGCATAATTTTAATATTAATAATACAATAAGCTTTGATCTTAATTTTTGTACCTTGACCGAATAAAATCGAATTACCTTAATTTTTTTTTCTAGAGTAATTAACGAAAACTTGAGAAAATATTTCATTCAAATTAAACCATTCTGAGAAAACTGTCCTGCGAAAAGTATAGCATTTAATTCCGTTCAGAATGAAATGTTGTTTAAAAATATGTTGTTTTCACATACTTAGGACTCTGAAGTGTTGTAGAAAAAGAAAATATATACATTTATATGTATATTTGCGACGTAATTACAAAATATTTACACCCGAACGCGTCAAATCCCATAGAACTCAATGGTAAATGACCCAATGTTTTGGTCACCACGTAGGGATCGCCGGTGCTTCAGAGCAGGGTACGGAGAAACTTATTTAGGGCGACTCCATCTTACTTCCTACCTCCATGGTTTCGCCCTGGAATTTTCATCAGCTATACTTTAAGTATATTTAATTTTTGCGATGATAAAAGAACTCCCCCCCCCCTACGATCAGAACTTAAATTGAGCCGGACACCGGAGCCCTGAATAAGAAGGTTGCGGCACTTCTTTTATGTAATTGAATAACGATTTCAGTAGAAATTTTATCTCGAAAACTTTATTTTAACAATAAAATTATATTAAAAATCGCGTATTAATTTTCAATTTATCTATTTACGTTTTTATTTAATTTTAATTAGTTAATTATTTCAATAAATAATAATTAATTATCTAATAATTATAATTAATTAATTATATAATTATTGATTAAATAACAATTTATAAACATTAATTAAATATATATTAATTAATTTGATAATAATTAACTATTTCATTTTAAAATTATTAATGAGTTTAATAGTCATTTTATTTATTTATTTACTCTTGTTCCTCTCTGCTGACGGTCTTCCATAGGGCTTTGGCACTTCTAATCTTAGAAATTAAGCCCTGGAGTAGACAATTACAAGCATCCATGCCTTCTCTAGGCGTAAAACAAGAAAACAGCAGGTTTCAAAAATCATTGTATTGAATACGAGGGTAGCTCAAGACATATTTAAAAATGCAATACCTTGTGCGCAGAAAATATTCTTATTCTTGATATAATTTTTAAGACTAGATCTAAAATAAACATTCTTCAGTCAAAAAAGTAAAAGGAAAAAGCGAAAGAAAGAAAAGAAGGGGGAAGAAAGAAAAGCTTAGCACTGCACTTTTTTTGTCATGTAATTATTTTTTAAAGAAATTCTGTATCCTTATCCTCATTTTTTTAATTTATTTAATGATTCATATTTATTATTTATTTTAAAGTTTGTAGCACCCTAAATCTATCTGAATGATGTATTTTTTGGTGACTGTACTGACCTTGTGGATGACCCCCGACATCCAAGGGGGGCCTGTACCTCATGAAATGGTGGACATGTCTTATGTATTCGACGAAACAACCTTATACTGGCCTACGCAAAAAAAGTTTGAAATGAAACTAACTCATAATGGAATCGCTGACGAAGGTTACTGGTATGTATGTATCACTATATTTTAAATCTCAAACTATTTTAACTGCAAAAACTATGCATAAGTTACAGTGTAATGCATTTTGATATTGTATACCGCACTTCATTTATGACGTATCTCAAAAATTTTATTTCTGGGACTGAACAAAATGCAAAAAGCAATTTCATCTTTATATAAACTTTCTTAAGAACGGTAAATCTCTAGGAATTGCAATTTTCTTAAAGTTAGTATTTATTCTAATTTGATTAGCTAATAGAGACTATGAAGAGTTTCGAAGCTATAAACGCTTAAGTCAAAAAAGACTTCGTCATGATTCAAACAACAGATTTCCAACAGCTAATTAGATGGCTAACCACTTATACTACGAAATAACGCAAGGATGTAAAATGGCGGCATATTCATCGGAGCAGGAAAGTTGCCAGGATTCGAATTTTTCCAATTCCTAGCCAGACGTGTTTTCAAATCTTACGACGAAGAAACGAAGCGGTAAGAAAAGATAAAATTCCTTACATCCTTTCCCACTTAAAAGGCGACTGTGGACAAAGGTGTAGGACTGTGGACAGTAGCCAAATCCAAGTGGTGACGAATTATCGTCCACCTCATTTTAGTCCGGTGCAGCTGAAAAATAATTAGATATTTATCGGAGGAGAAATCTGTATGCAATATTTTTAGAATTATCAACAATTTTAAAATTTGTTTAAGTGTTGCTAAGCCTAATTTGATGGCGGCCATTGCTCTTGTTTACATTTGAAACAGCTGAGTAGCGGATTTGTTGCCAATCTAGAGAAACTTAGCTTCGCAACAACAAAGATAACGCCTTCATTTATTATTTAAATCATGCTTAATCCTTTCTGGAATTTTTTCGAGGAAATAAGCGTTTAAGATTTACTTCGTAATTTTTAATACAGATATTTTGAGTTTTTATGTATTTTTGCCTTGTCCCGAAGTGAAAACTGAATTAATTGAATGAGAAATACTCAATCGTCTGTGAAAACTGTTTCTTTTTTCTTTTGTTTGCTTAATTTCTTTTATACATAGTTCTAGCTTTATTATAGTATTTGAATAGAACACGTGGCAACGATTAGATAATTCTTTAAATGATATAAATTTTGTGCGTCGAAGTATAATACTGTTAAGTAAACCTAGCGCCAGAGTGTCGCTATGGTAAACAAAGTGAATTTTAAAGAATGCATTTATTCTATTGTGGTTTATGCGCTGTCGGCGAAGTAGGTTTAATTCAATCTGATAAGTTTAAATAAAATGAAAGAAAAAATGCGTATAATTTAATATTCCGTACAAGGAAGTCATGTGGTGTACACATCAGACTTTTTTCCCTTATATTAATGATATTACATTTATCCACCTACCAATTACTTTTAAGTACTTGGTAAAGTAGCATAGGAGATTATGAGGGGATAAAATACCCATCTAATGTTAAGAAATAACTATGCGAAGGTCCTTTTTTTTTTCAGCCAATAATATGAGCTCTTACCTCCCTCCCCCTGTTTTCGCCTGAAACGCCTGAAAACTATCGTGACATAAGCTATGCATAAGAAACCTATCAGAGATAATACATGTAATTTTGCGACTGTGTCTGGCATAAAAAAGTTACAAAAAGCAGAAAAACATTTTTGGTTTTGCCACACGAAAGGTTTTACTAATTATCTTTAATATGCAATAATGTCTCATCTCCTTGCCACGTATCCACAGATTCCGCTCACTAAAACAGTTTTGAGAAAGACAAGCTAGATTTTAACCCCCCCCCTCCGCCTTCCGTTTCACGAAACGTTTATTTTGAAAATCTGTATTAGTCTTCTTGAACTAATGTTTCGTAATTTTTCTTACATATACATTAATTATTATATTTTCAATTCTCTGAAATTTTTGCCAATGATATTTTTTAAGTAAAAGAATTTTAAAGCCTAACGTATTCTTCTTTAAGAAATGTATTTTTACACTGTTTTATAAATTCTTCATTCAAAAGAAGAAACGAAGTAGCTGCGCAGACGATACTTAGAGTAAACTGTATTTCCAAATAGAAATTCAAAAGAATGAAACGATTTCATTGCATATTGCAAATAAAATAACTATTTTTGATAGAAGAATCACTATAAGGTCTGCGAACCAGAGATACATTAAAGATTTACAAATCTCAGGCAATACCAAATTCATATTTGTATAACAGAGATTCGCAAAGTTCATGTTTGTGAACCGCCTATATTTGGCATATATCTAGACGAAAACTGACATCAATCAAGCTGCAAAAGTCTGTAGTGATACTTTTGTGCCCTAACAGATCTTAAAGTAGCGAGCACGTGTTATAGAGTTTTCTTACATTCTCACAAGGAAAAAAAGACTTGAAGGTATAAATGGTCTCAGTTACTCTGTTACAAACAGTCACCTTATACAGAATGAGCAAAGAAACTAATTTTTTTCACTCCTTATTGAAATAATTTTTGAGCTTTTTAAATAAAATATCATTACACTGTGGGGTTTTATTTTATTTTTTTGTTTTTTTTGTTTTTTTTTTTTTTTTTTTTTTTTTTTTTTTTTTTTTGTTTTTTTTTTTGTTTTTTTTTTTTTTTGTTTTTTTTTTTTTTTTTTTTTTTTTTTTGTTTTTTTTTTTTTTTTTTTTTTTTTTTTTTGTTTTTTTTTTTTTTGGTTGATTTTATCAACAGTTAATTTTATTTTGAAAGCAGCCTTTCCTATGTCTCTTGTTTTCAACTCACGCTTTCTTGCCAGAATGAGATTTCAGTTTCGTGCATTATGCAAAGTAGAATAGAAAGCTACTATTTAAGTTGGTGTCTGAGTTACTTCAGATACAGCGTGTTCTGCCTGTTGGCCACATTGTTTCTGTACTAGTTAAGCTTGCTATTTTTACTGCCGTGCGTATTAATTTCCGGTTAAGTCTACGTCGGTGGTAGAGCCAAGAGTCAACGTCACGTTAAAACAGCATCTCTTTGCTGCTTCGGTTGATTATTCGAATTACGTTTACTTAAAATTTTACATTTTTATCCTGAGTTGCACACTAAAAGTATTCGTAAGGTCGTGTAAACACCAGAAGTGCCAACTGTACATACTGTTCAAGAGTTGAATAAAAGGGTCTTTTCACCCTTCCTATGTGCTGTTACTGACACGGTGTCCGCCGATAACATCGCGGCAAAAACATCGCTGACGAAAACATCGCTGACGAAAACGTCGCGGAGAAAACAACGCAAGGCGAAAACGTCGTGCTACAAAACATCGTGGGAGAAAACATCGCAGTTCTAAAACATCACGGTACAAAATATCGTCGTCGAAAATAAAGCGGTTCAAAAACTTCGCAGTTTAAAAACATCGTCCTCGAAAATATCGTGGTAAAAAATAAAGTATCTACAAATCATCGCATGCCGATAACATCGCAGACATGCTTTTTCAGGTTTTAATAATTGTAAATGGATATTCTCATAATGATTTGTGAGCGCAAGATGTAAAGAAGGATAATTTTTACTTTCACATTCTTTTATTAACTAATAAATTTTTGCTGAAAACGTAAGAAAGAAACTTAAGCATAGAAAATTAAACGTAACTTATAGATTATACTTCTCATGAAGAATTGCCAGTAAAAACTTTATAAAAAATTATTTATTAATATGGCCTTTGTTAGTTAACTATGTCGGTTTAAAATTCTATTAAGTACTATAAGTTGCATTAATTTTCTATGCTTAAGTTTCTTTTTTATTTTCTCAGCAAAAATTTATTGATTAATAAAAAATATGAAAGTAAATATTATCCTTCTTTCCATCTTGCCCACACAAATCATTACGGGAATATCCATTTACAGTTATCAAACCCTGAAAAAAGCGTGGCTACGATGTTATCGTCATGCGATGATTTGTAGATACTTTATTTTTTACCGCGATATTTTCGACGACGATGTTTTTAAACTACGAAATTTTTGAACCGCTTTATTTTCGACGACGATGTTTTGTACCACGATGTTTTAGAACTGCGATGTTTTCTCTTTGCGATGTTTTCTCCCACGATGTTTTGTAGCACGACGTTTTCGCCTTGCGTTGTTTTCTCCGCGACGTTTTCGTCTGCGATGTTTTCGGCTGTAACCACTGATACAGTTGAACTGAGCGAATAGTCGCTTCATAATTCAAGTAAAGATCTAGCCAGCAAAAGTAACTTTAATTTAGCTAGAATCTTACAATTGTATTTATCTTAGAGATTTAACTGTTCCACTGCAAACAAAGAATAATAAGTTTTAAGGTATATTTTATGTTAATTAGCCAGTTATTTTAGTTTAAACTTTTACTACAACTTCTCCTTACCGTAATCGTCACCAGAATGCAAAGTAGTTGTTCGCTTATATGAGCTGATGGTTTTGAATGTTTACAGTAGAGCCTCTGGAAGCTGCGTCTTGCTGTTGCTATCGCCAGCTCTGCCCAAGTTGTATTCCGGCTTTAGCATTTTGTTATCCAACGTTATAAAATATGTGCCGTTATATACCTGAGCCAGCTTGAGTAGTCTATTTTATGTGTAGCCTCAGATTATGTTACCAACATCGAAATTTAATTTTCTCTTATGTTGATACAAATACCTGCAAGCAAAGAAATTTATCTGTCGAACAAGTAGTGCCTTTCTTTCATTTAAGAGTTAAATAAGAAAGGTGTTTTTTAACCTTCATACGACTTTGTGACTTTTTTAGACTAACCGATAAGTATTCATTATAGTAGGATCTGCAGGGCTTTAACACGAGTTTCAATCTACAGCAGAACCATATAACGTTTGATTTTTAAACAGCTAGGTGTTGAAAAACGTTTTATCACCATATTATGAACAGTAATACTGAACACTATGAAGACAACTGAGTAGATAATTATCAAAGGAATAACATCATTGTATCATTTATTTATTCTTCTACATACTCTTCTACTTAACACAAAGCACTATATTCAGACACAAAGCGCTACATACAGACTTCACCAAGCAATACATACCTTCAGAAATCATAAAAT